GCGCCGCTGCGCTTCCCAAGCGGCGCACTGTAGCAGTGCGCCACCAGGCCGGCCCGATTGAAGTTTTTTTAATGCCACTTTAGAATATGGGAAAACACCATGTACCAGCCAGCGGAAGGAAGGAAGGAAGGAAGGAAGGAAGGAAGGAAGGAAGGAAGGAAGGAAGGAAGGAAGGAAGGAAGGAAGGAAGGAAGGAAGGAAGGAAGGCAAAAATAGCTCAGTTTTGCCAGAACTGAAGCTAAAGTGCCCCTTAAGTAAATTCACTCGGCCATGACTACCCCCATTAAATTGTTTGGGTGTTGGTGTATATAGCCTGTGAAAGAATCAGTCTAGGCCAGTTTGGAAAAAATATGTAATTACAGGGGCCTTTCCAGTCAAAGCATATAGGCTCAAAATGCAGGGTAATTTGGGAGAAAGGATGAGGCAAAACCAGGAATACAACAAAGCAGTACAGTATAGCAGTTAGGGGCATGAAGCCAGGCTGGGTGTGAATACCAATTCCACCACTCACTAGCTGTGCAAATTGGACATATTACTTAACCTCTCTGAACCTTATTTTTCTAATCTGTAATATAAGAATAGCAACAGTACCTATTTCATCAAGCTATTGTAAGGACTAAGTAAGAAATGTAATTTATCCAGTGTTTCTTTATGGGTCATAAAAAAAAAGAAACGTAATTTAAATCATATTGTTTGTCACATAGTATGTGCTCAACAACTGTCAGCTACCATTAATAAAACACAAAAGATCCTCTTGCCCCCCAAATTTTATGGAATCAGAGTGGGTGCAGAGGAGATACGCAGAAGAGGATGGATGTTGTCAGCTTCTTTAAAAAGTCTTCTCCATTCTCTGCTAAGGCACATTGCTGGGTACAGACTGGATAGGGGAGGAGGAGTGGCCAGGGCAAGAAGGTGTGTTTTCTCAAAGGGAAAAATTCACAGTAGAAAGTAGGAGAATGTTGGGGTTCTGGGAAGAGGAAGAATTACTGTAGATTCAATGGCTCAGAATCCAGTTTACCGGTGAGTATCCAGTTTACAGGTTAATGGGAGTAGTGTTCTTTCTATGTGCACAATCTGATCAATAGACACATCCCGAGGCCCTGATCTGTACAGACACTGATTGATTACTGCTCACCCCCTTGGGCATCAGGTGGAGGTGTAAAAATTAATGTCTTCCTTTGGCTTCAGGGCCCCATGTATGGTTGCACGGGATGTCTGTATGAATGTCGCCCCTGTCATTGTGCAGTGCACAGCCTGCACAACTGTATGTGGCAGCCCTGCATGACCTCCACCCTTACGTGCTTCTGCTTTGCATTGTATATTATCTGGCTACCTGTGGTCTCATATGAGCCATAAGGTCCCTGAGGGCAGAAACACAGATTACATATGTTTCTTGTTGTTGTTTTTTTTCCTACCTCCCACAGTGCCTGGCACTCAGTTGATGATTAATAATTCTCCCCTAGCAACTCTGTTAAGGGACCCTCTTCTGACCAGCTCCAGGGAGAAAAAGCAGTCCCTCTTCAGCTTCCCTCTGACCCTCCAGGAATACTCAGTCCAGGCACCACATACCCTCATCAGCATCCGGTACCCAGTCCTCTCTGCCTGTCCTCCACTTAGGAACAGCTCACCTCAAGCACCAGGAAATCATTAACATCAGTCTCAGAAGGAAAGCAGCTTCAAGTTCTTGTCACCCAGGGCTATGGTATAAAGCACCACAGGCTGTGTACTGCACAAGTGCAGGGAGCAGCCTTCTCATGGATATGATGCACTATGTGTGGATCTTGCCATCCAACCCTTATCTATGCAGATAATAGGCCTCCCCGAGGTCACTGTTAGAGGGCTCTCATTCTCAGGTAGTTCTCACACCAAGCTAAAATCTATCCCCACCCCCACCCCACAGTGGTTCACACCCTGGACCCTGTTCTGCCCTCTGGAGTCCTACACACAAAGCCAAATCACCTGTTTCAGTAAATATTAAACTACAAGACCCCACCCAGGCCTTGTGGATTTCAACCCAGCCAAGAGATGATTGTGCTTCTGAGGGAGACCACTCCCTGCAGCTGGGATGGCAAGTCCTTCCCCAGGCATGCCTGCCTCTCTCGCTGCTGCTGCACGCCTTGAGCCTGGCTCCCAGCCTGAGACACACAGGATCAGAGAAAAAGTAGAACAGTCAGGAGATCAGGAAGAAAAGGCGATGCATTCTTGCTTCCTTCTCAGCAAGTTTCCCAAGCAATGGGACTCCTCAGGCTGCTGGCCAGGGAGTCTGGGCACAAACTAATCTCCACAGCCAGGGTTCCCTCAGAGCTGCCATTGGAGAAAGAGCCCCCAAGCTGCCAAGAGCCCGCTTGCCATCCCAGCAGGCTCTTCCCTGGAAGGTAAGCATTCCAGTGAGCGTGGAGGAGCCACCACCAATGTTCCTCGCCTGGGACCCACACAGTCAGGTTTGGGGATAGGACAAGTGTTTCCCCAGCCCACGCAAAAACGACACAGGCTTCCTCTCTTCTCCCTGCAGAAGAGTCATGGACACATCCCTCCTGGGACCAGCAATACCACCTGCCCCTACCCTGGCCCACAACCCCTTGCGGTATGGGGGCCAACAGTAACACACTGGGCATGGGAAGGGCACCTTCCCCCAACAGAGAAACTAAGGCATCAGGGACTGAGCTGGGACAGGAGCCACAGGGAAGGAGAAGGGCTGAGCCTGGGCTGCTGCAGGCCCTGGACTGGTCCCCAGGAACGGAAAGCCAATGAGGCACACTCAGTGGAGGACAAAGGAGAGAAATAAGCCCTCTTGCCCCAGAAGCAGCAGGTGGTAAGGGAGGCATGAGAGGGGCACCCGGGAAGGCAGCAGAGGTCAGGTAGCTTGGGAGAGGTAGGGAAGGCCAGGCAGATAAAGCTCTGGGCTCTCTCCCTTTTGGGGCCACAGCCAGAGAAATAGTTCAGCTAGTTGCATAATCCTTCTATTTGCCCAGAGCTACATTTTGTCCAGAAACGCTCTGTCCTGAGAGGTGATTAAAGAAGGCATCCAGCAGGGTCTGGACAAGGAAGAGAGTCAGCAGGAGAACAAGAGGTGGTCTTCCACTGCCTCGTAGGAGGATGTGGGCCCACAATGAGTCCGCCCCGCTCAACTTCACCCTGCCACCCAACTTCGGCAAGCGCCCCACCGACCTGGCACTGAGTGTCATCCTGGTGCTCATGCTGCTCACTGTCATGCTCTCACTGGGCTGCACCATGGAGTTCAGCAAGATCAAGGCTCACTTCTGGAAGCCGAAGGGGCTGGCCATCGCCCTGGTGGCACAGTACGGCATCATGCCCCTCACTGCCTTTGCACTGGGCAAGGTCTTCCGGCTGACCAACGTCGAGGCACTGGCCATCCTCGTCTGCGGCTGCTCCCCTGGGGGAAACCTGTCCAACATCTTCAGTCTGGCCATGAAGGGGGACATGAACCTCAGGTAGGAGGACTGTGGGTGAGGAGGGAGCAGCGTGGGACAGGGGCCGCATTGTAGATGTCACATCAAGGGGAAGAACTGGGCTAAAGCCAGAGAGGGAATGAGTGGGGCTGGGGTGGATACTAGGACAGGAAGTAGCTGGCATTTATTGCCAGGAGCTTATGCTGGGCTGGGGGCAGGAGTTGGAGTACATCTTGGCTTAAGCACCAAGCCAAAGGAGCCAAACCGGTCCAGGAGCATCCTGGAGACCTCATTACTCCCAGAGGTGTACAAGGATTGTCTTAAAGCAACACTGATTTAAACCTAAGGAGCCTCTGGAGAAATTCGAGTATACCTGCCTACAATGGTGGGGAAGAAGTCCGCTTTGAGGCCAGAGATATGAACGGGGGCTCTAAAGCCACCAGGGAGATCAAGGTGACTTAGAGCCAAGTGAGCACCTCAGCTTTCTGCAGAGCAGGCAAGAATTTCCAAAAGGTTCTCCCAGTTATCTGGGCATGTGGGATGTCTCTCTTTAACATCCCTCATCTTCCCATCAGATACAGGGACACTTCCAATCAAAGGCACAACCAGGAAGATCCTAGAGTTTCCCGGCACCCATCCAGGTTATGCTGGGCCCCACCTCAGTCAAACTGGTAGGGAGGAAACCAGCAGTATCCCCTGCCCAAAGCATTCTGAGCAGAAATCAGCAAGGGCTTGCTCCTGAGAGCCAGCCTGTGGTGCTGGCTGGGGGGACTCGAGCCTTGCACGTCTGTCAAAGGACGCCACTTCAGACCTGCTCAGCTCCAGCAGCCTGTGCTGAAGCTGAAGAAAACTTACTAGCAGAAGCTTCTTGCTTTTCTCCTTGGTCTCAAGCCATTTTCCTCTGGTTCAGTCCTCAGTGGAGATGCTATTTAATGCCAGGCATAGCAATGGAATTCAGAGAGTCCATCTGTTGCGGCTGCCAGCATCCTGCCCCTGACCGAAATTTCCTAAGAATACTAACCAAGTGAGAAGGCCCTCCTGGTGATG